AGCCATAAACGACATTCATAGAGAGTCAGTTACCTACTACCTCGACTCTCGACCTATGAATGCCGTAATACGAGCCCAATCACCACCTGTGGAAGAGACGGAGCTTCAACTGCCACGAGAGACCCGCGTTACCCTGGCTCAATTGCGGTCTGGATACTGTAGCCGCCTTAACAGCTACCTGTCCAGACTCGACCCCAATATCCCCAATGAGTGCCCGGCATGTGGAGAGTCCCCCTACGACACCAACCACCTCTTTACATGCCAGCTCAATCCGACTCAACTAACACCCCTCTCCCTCTGGTCCGAACCCATTGAAACAGCTCGTTTCCTGGGCCTCCCGTTAGTTGAGCTCGACGACAATGATTGAACGTAGACCCGAAAATGGCGGGGCTTAGTAGTGCCGCTACAACAACAACAACAACAACATTCGTCTGCAGACGACAACCTCTCTGATTGCGATTTTAAACTCTATCGGTCGTCTTCGGGCGGTATTATCACTTGCGAAGCGAATGATTTTGGCGAAGCGAACGGTTTGCCGAAGCGAATTAAGGGGCAGAGAAGGCATTAAAAGTGTTCGCGATGGAAAGAACTTCCACAAGCTGGTAAAAAAGAACACTCTTAATGCATATTTAAGTTGCGTCCGCCAATCCATTCGCTTCGTCAAACCGTTCGCTTCGCCAAATTCATCCGCTTCGCAAGTGATAATACCGCCCTTTCTTTTCATACATTACGTTGCAATGGTCTCGGTTGCGTTTAAACCGGCTAAAATGATGCCGCCGGAAAACCCGACAACCCTAACGGCCTTGTCCCTGTGGAAAAACCCCACAGAAGCTGCACGCTTCCTAGGGTTGCCGTTAGTGGAACTTGACAACGACTGAGATACCAACCGTCCTGGGCGGGGTTGTTGTAGCCGCTACAACAACAACAACATGCCGCCGCACTAATTTTTGAAGCACTCCTCTGCAGACGAAACGTTCGTGTTGCCTATCGTTCGTGATACAGAATAAGGCTGCAGATGGAATTGTTCAGTACTCGCAACATTTGGGTGCTAATTTCAAGCTCGAAATTTAAGTGTTATTTTTTAGGAATAAGAGACTGATGCTCTTGTATTTTAACATTATACATATTTACATAGTTACATATAAATATTCCATTATATATAAGATAGCTTTCATTTCCATACGTATATATATGTATATGCATCTGAATTGATCATTTTTGTTCTGCGTACAAATTTTCTTGGTCAGCTATACACATAAGCGCCAATTTGATATCGGACCGTTTTTTTACGCTCTCTTCGCGTAGTACATCACATTCTTTAGTTAGAATTTTCACCTTGAAATTAGAAAATTTTAATGCCTCCGCGAGCGTGAATTGGACAAAATAACCTTTACCCACATCGACCAATACTAAGTCATCTGGGTTATTTACTTTAGCTTCCATAAATATATTGCCCCCAATATCTGCAAGGTGATAAAGATTATAGCAAAGGTGAAAAAAATCTTTGTAGAATTAATAGCTACTCATTTGTGTCTTAAAGGAACCATATGAATTTTCGTGTAATGTTTGTAGCGTATTTCTTAGCTGAACATACTCCATAATCTGCTCATTGTATTTATTTATGTGAAGCTCTATTTGCTTCAGATCCTCTTTAAGAAAGTCAGTAACAAATATTTCTAAATTTTGCGTAGTTAAAAGCGACATTTACAATTTGTTTATACTAGGAATGCAAACAATGCATCGATAATTTCAAAACATCGATGTTTCGTCCAAGTATATCGATGTTTTGCTGGACGATACATCGACTACAAAAGTGAAAAACATCGACATCGTTCACTCAACCTGATGCCACATAAAACTTTTGCTTCGCTTTACGTGACAGCTTCGCATTGTATTAACATGCACAAATAGGGATAAAACAATACAAGTAAATTCAAGTACATACTTGATACTTTTCATCCCATACCAAGTAATTTTGGTATCGATACTTTTGAACCGAGTACTGAGTAGGTATCGGAAGAATGTACGGGTGGGCTTTAGTAGTCAGCCGCACCTTGTGTTTTAAGAAAACCAG